CTCTGATTGGCTATACTACTCACTATCTATTCTGTGATAGATAGTGAACAGCGTAGCCGTGTGCCCTTGTTAAATGACGGCCTCTTCTTGGCATTTTCAAAGTGTCTGTGAAGAGGATCTAGATTAAGTTTTGAACGACCAGTAGATTTATACCAAAACAATTAGATTATTCGCTCTTGATTTCTATGCACGATCGTTGCTGCTCCCTTGTCAACTATCACACGATAGAAATCTTGAGCTCATAATCTAATAATAATTGTTTAATAGAAACACAAATGGAACTTTGGGAGAGCGAGAAAAGCTGTGGCAACAAAAGCTGACAGGCAAGTGTTTCCGCAGCTTTTTCGAGTTCTTCCAGACTTTCAAGAGAAACATGAAGAACATGTTTTCTATTTCTTTTAGAAAACACTGCAACAAAAACAAGAAAATGACTTGTTTACTTTGATCACCAAAATGTAAATTCTCTATGCCCACACTATCATTATGTCAACAGTTTGTAGTAGTTCTGTTTCTATCGAGTTATAGAAACATACTTTGTGACCAATCAGTGCACATATTTTCTAAAAACATTTCAATTAGTATAAATCTACTAGCATTCTATCACAAATGCCATTCTCTGATTTGCAACAATACTAACTATCTCTTCTGTTGTAGAGAGTGAGCAGTGTAGCAGCATACGCTAGGGGCCACTTCTATGTGTTTTCGAAGTGTCTTTGAAGAGGATTTAGATAAAGTTTTGAACGACTAGTAGATTAATTATACTAAAACAATTAGATTATCCCCCCTCGATTTCTGTGCGTGGTAGTTGACTTGGGTTATGACCTCAGCAACTATCACACGATGGAAATCTCAAGCTCATAATCTAATTGTTTAATATTTTATTGCATGTTGTTTCTTGCATGTGCAAGCCATTAACCATTAGTTAAGTTCAACAGGATTGTTGGTCAATTTCTGTCAGCTTTCTGGTGCATGCTTCCAACAAAAAAGTTCCCCCATCACATGCTCATGTAGTTTACATCAGTGAGCTTCTATTAGCTTAAACTGATTGGATAAATCATTCCCAGCTAGCGATTTTGTATCAGACAACACAAAGTATATCAGATTCCATGGATTTCATAAACAGGAATCAATTATCACTTATGTCTATCATTTTGAAATAATAACACAGAGTTTTCTCAGCAATGTTTTGCATGCTAGCTGGGAGAATTTGGTGATAAACACATTTAACAGTTTCACATGCTGATCAGTTCCTTTAGTCTCGTGACTACCTGCTTTACTTGGTATGGACAGTTCAAGGGGAAATAAAATGTTCATCACACACCTTGTTTCTAGTTCCTGGGCAAATTCAAAGAACACTTGTGTGTCCACATCTTGTTGTTCTTCGTCACTGAAAAAAGGAAAAAGAACATAAATTGCAATGCAGTTAATGCAGTGTAAAAAGAAGCATTTCCTTTTCAGTGGAAAGTCAAGTGAACGTGATCTTACAACTATGAAAGTAACATTGGACTCTGGATCGAGCAGTTGGGTAGAGGTTCTGGTTGCGGTCACTATCTTCTGTTCTTGGGCAGGACAATTTATTCTTATAGTTACTATCTCCATCCAGGGCTGGAATGGATGTCAGAAAAATTTAGGGCAGCCATGCAAAAGACTAAGGAATAACTAGCAAAGGTGCAGCATCTTATCCAGGGAAAGTGGTAAAATACACGAACTCCAGACCAAGGAACTACAGATACTGAAAAAAGAAGAGGCATTGGAGTCCACTTTGAAACAAGTGTGGACTTAACTTAGCACTATCACAAAGTCTCTCATAGCTAACTTGTTAGAGCATCCAGCTGTTATCGAGAAGGAACATGGTCTCTGCTCCCACTGGGTAATCAAAAAGTTTTATTTGTTGCATTGTTTCTTACCTTACGTTTGTCAGAAGGTAAACGGCAATCTGGTCAGCAGTTAAGGCTGGATTCAGTTGATACTTCACATCATTTTCAAGAGATGACAAATGTTCCGCAGACAGCTACATTAATACAACAATTTCAGTACATCAACCAAAATGAATTTGGTACAGTGGAACCCCGTTAATACGGTCACCAACAGGCCACAAAAATTTGGCCATTTTAATGGGCAAGGGCCAAATTTCATGACTGGTCTAAATTGAGTGACGTCTTGACAGATATACTGTATCACCATTGCACTTCTAAACAACTGTTCTTCAATTAGCATGCAGAATGCAGAAATACAGAATGCAGTACGTAAAATGTTAACAGGAGAAAAATGAACATAACTGTGGCCACTCAAACCATAACTGGTTTCAGTGGCCATATAAACAGGGTAAAATTAAAATTATAAAATATAAAATATAAAATTATAAAATTATAAACACAAGTTGGAATTTCAGAATGCAGCCATTTAACAGGTTTTTTAATAAGAAAGTGTATCCATGGATGTTTTGCTGGCAGGGACAAAAAAAGTGGCTGTAATAACAAGGTGACTGTATTAACAAGGTGACCATATGGCTGGGTTCCACTGTGCTGAAAATAACAAGCTGCATTTGATAAAACTTCACCTGCATGAATCAATTTACTAGGGATTCTGCTATGTAAATTCATCATTAATTCTTTATTTCTTCAATCTAACAAAATAATTTCACAGATTACTGTACCTGATGTGCAACCATTTTGATGACATTACAGAAATCTATGAATGATGTTTTCATGGTTTTGTCTACAAAAATAATAGTAAAATGCATGTCTTTTGAACAATAAGAGTGTAACCTTAAATAAAATGTTACATTCCAAGAAAAGTTCCAAGGTAAGAGAATAAAACAATGATACGTAAATAAGTAAAATTTTGTCATGAAAATAAACTTTCCTATAAATTGTTAATTTACTTCACAAAACCAAATTACGTAGCTACATATAGGGCCCTAGGAAAAGTGTTTCATTAATGTTTTCAGCACAAGGACAATTAGTTTTCACAGGCAGGCAAAACTTTTTGAACTGAACTAACTTCTTAAAAAAAAAAAAACCTTCCTGTAGATGATCAAACTAGACAGAATCGTCCTCACAGCCGGTCAATTTGCCTGGTGCCTTGCCCTCAATGTAACCCTGACTATGACTGTGACAGCAAATCTCTGTTTGCAACAGAATATTCCATCTGACTAAAATTCTCTCAAAGTGAACAAGATACTCACCAAGAGAAGGTTCTGAGGAAAGAAGTGAGACATCCAGTGGCTCTACACAAAGATGAAGCTGTTCAAACAGTTCACAAGGTCTGAAGAATGACAGCATTTCCTACAAACCAAGGAAGAAAATGTGAGCTTAAGTCTGCATACAAGCCAAGTGGCCCTTCAGGCCAGTTTTTGAAGAATGAAGTGACCAGGAGTATTTCTGCTCCTCCCCTGGATGGGATGCTAGTCCCTCACTGGGTTACCCCCCAGCATTAAATTTGCCAGTACCCATTTATTCACCTGGGTGGAGAGAGGTACTGTGAGAGTAAAGTGTCTTGTCCAGGAACACAACACAGTGTCCCCAGCAAGGGCTCAAACCCAGACTGCTTGATTTTTACCATTTTATTTCTCTGTTTTTTCCTTAGCTTTAGTTTCAATTGAGAAGATATATCAAACACTCTAGACAGTGTTTGATCACATTTAAAATCACCTCAAAGTTCATCAAAAATACTCTGTTAAACATACAGCTACATACCTTTCTAACTAAGCAGACTAATCCTGTATTGCCATCAACAAAAATACCCATGGCTTTACTTCCGACCTGAGGAAAGAACAAGGATATATAAGTATTTGCATTCCAAAACTGTAAACCAACTCTTACATGTTGTTATTGCAACATCACCAACCAAAGACTTCTCATACAAAACAAACTAATGACTGTTTTGTTGACATGGCATCCTTACTTGATGGTATTGTACAACATAGCTGTAGAACTTGGTCCAACACTGTAGCTGCAGGTCATTATACTCATCATGAAGCATCTCGTAATCTGGAGCTGATACCTGAATCTAAAGGAACAAAGCAGCTAGGTTTATATTTAATGGGTCATCAAGAATCCATGGGTGTTTGGGACCAAACGGCACAAGAGTTTGAACTCAAGTCAACTCTCATCCTCATTTACCTAGACTTAGAAAATAAAGGACAATGCCTAACACAATGGAATCCCACCTTGCAGTCACCCCATTAATACAGCCACCTCGTTAGCCCAAGTTAGCTATTTTCTTATTTTAAAGAACCCCTTTAATACAGCCACCCCGTTAATATGGCCAGATTTTTGGTAAACAGATTAATGGTGTTCCACTGAACCAATGATTTCTGATGTCTACTGCAACCTTCAATTTAATAATAATTTAACACAAATGACTTTCATCATCATTATAACACCATTTAGATTCTAATTGGCTAAAGAGCTGATGTTTTATCAGAGAATAAAACATTTTCTAAGCATGTTTTAATGTTTTACACAACTTAAATGTAAAATCATGCAATAAAAAAGAAACATAAACCATGAAGTATACTATCATATGACACTCCAAGAATTGAGAACATTTCAGAAATTTAGTAACCATTTGAATAAAGTTTGTGCCTTCTAAATTCCTCTGATGTCCTTTAATTTCTGTTGTGTATTATGACAGTGCACTAGATGTTGTAAGGTAAAGTCTGCATATAAGCCTAGTGGCCCATCAGGCCAGAGCTTATCCCGCTTTCTGCAGCATGAAGCAACAAGGAATATTTCTACTCCCCCCTGGATGGGATGCTAGTCCATTGTAGGGTTATCCCCAGCATTAAATTTGCTGGTACCCATTTGTACACCTGGTTGGAGAGAGGCACTGTGAGACTAAAGAATTTTGCCCAAGAACATGATGCAATGTTCCCGGCCAGTGCTCGAATCTGTACCACTCGATCCAGAGATGAACACACCAACCATGAGGCCACCACTCCTAACCCTCCTTCTTTATTTGTTAGCTAACACAAACCTCAGAGTCAATAAGGTTGATAACAGCTTGCTTGAGATCTCTCCTTGATAGGTTCTCATCATAATTGTTGGTGAAATTGGAAACTGGTAAATGGCGGTAAATCTGCAGGGTAAAAACAATAATTGGATTTCAACCTGTATATTTCTTAACAAAAAACAGAGATCTCATTGCTAAAGAAAGCACAAAAAAGAACTATCTTTGAACACATTACCTGCATTGCTTTAAGAATGGAATGATTTGAAAATCTTCCCGGGTAGAACAGCTGCTCAAGAAAGACTTCCTAAAAAAAATAAGTACTAGGTAAATACTGCATTATCAAGTTTAATTTGGGATTAATCTGTAAAAGATGGGGAGACTTTTTAAGTGGTCATCATCCTAGAAGACAAAAATCAATGCGAAAAGTAAGAAAAAAGTAACTTGTCTTAATTTTCAAACACTAGTTTATTATATTTTTATGTCTCTCAGATGACCTGAATAAAATCAAAATACTATCTTGGAGTTCCCATTACAATATTTTTACTCTGCTCTCACCCAATCAGAATGTTACCACTATTTTTTCAAGCATGTAATAATAAAACAATAAACTCACTCTTGGCTCTTTGTAGGGCGGAACAAGAACTTCAGAGTTTTCTGTTAGTTCAAGGAACACTCTTGTCCAACCAGATTGCTGTAAATCTAAACTGTGAGATCAAAAACAATTCAATCCTAAAATGCTAATTCTCCCAAGAGTTTTTATACATTCATTTTAGTGACTGCTCTACAGGTGCTTTCCCTTTATTTCCAGTTCCTGTCTGCTTGATAACAACTTACCGATACATACCATACAAGGAAATGACTTGACACTACAGCTCTTAAGTATTAATGCTATGTTTCAATTTTTACCTCCGCTTTAAAATTGTTTCAAACCAGCTTATATTTTTCAAACCTGTTAAGGGGAAATTTGCCACAGTTGCATGCATGGCCTAAAGGAGATGAAGGATAAACATGGGGGAGGGGGCTGATATAGGATTCTAGTGGGGGTAGCGTAGAGTTAGGGACTGAGAGGGCTGGGTGGGTGGTTTTAAGAACCTCCCAAAAATTAGGAAAGACAAACTGGTTTGAAAAATTTAAAGCTGAGGTAAACATTAAAACACAACATTAACATGAAAGAATATTAGTCCACTTCCCCTTCCTCTTCCCATTTCTCTCTTTTACATGTACAAGCTTCCTTCACTTCAGTCTAATACATCTTCTGGAACTTCCGATAATTTTAATAGCACCATTACATGGAAACCAAATGTCCCATCTCACTTTTCAGAAAACAATTTACCTTGAAGAAAATTAGACAGTGAGTATCAACAACATTATCAAACCGTGCAGCAAACATCGAAATCATTTCTTACACAACTCCCTTACCATTATCCTCAAATTAGCGGCCCCCCCTTGAATAAGTGCCCCCTTCGAATAAGCACCCCTCCTATCGGCCAAAATTTAAAATAGACGCCCCCCTCGAAAAAGCATCCCACTCCCCTCCCCCCATTTTGTTGACGAGTACTGAGACAACAAAAGATCTATTAGTTTTCGTCGTCTAGTATTAGATTTGTACATTGTTTCAGTTTGTGAATACATTAAGTGAACACATTGAACACGTTAAGTACTAACGGTGCTGTGATTTAAACTTTAGGATCACCTTTTTATGTCGATAAACAGCTTATGTTGTTCTGTATGCACAGATGATGTATTGAAAAAAAATGGTCATGTCAGGTCACCATTTGGGAAAAATTAAATAAGTGCCCCCCCAAGCGCCCCCCTCGAATAAGCACCCCCCATCTTCTCCTAAATTTGAAATAAGTGCCCCGGGCGCTAATTCAAGGATTTACCATACTTGTACCTTTTCCTATAATCACGTACATTGTATGTTGAGTTTCCTTACTTTTCAGTGGGTGTGAAATAGACCATTGTTTCCCCTTCTGCACTTGTCCATACAGTCCAAATATGAGATGTAGTAACAACAAAGTCTACCAGATTTCCCTGTTTAAAAAAAAATAAAGTCATTTTAAAGTACAGCATTTATTTTCTTTTTTAAACTGTGCAAGTTTTCAAATTTCAGTGGTGTTCAAGGCCAGAGAACTTATCCAGAGCTCTAGCCAAAAGCAAACTAACAAGAAAGCAAAACTTTACATTAAAAGTTACTTACCATATATGTACACTAAAAATGCAGTTGAAACAAATAAGGGGGGGAGGGGGAATTCTAAAAAAACAATACAATGGAGACTGAGAAAGAGTCAGAAATGACTTGACATTTTAAACTTCCATTTTTAATTTTAAGTCACAAAAATTGCATCCCCTTTTCTCCTTTCTCTTGTTAATTAAGTTTGTTCCTTCAATTGCTGACTATACACTTAATTATAATCAAGAAAATCTAGTATACTTGCGCTGTAACCTTAAAACAAAATGTTTTGAATTGAGTGAAGAAAAACCAAACCCAAAGTAGTCGAAAAGGACAGAGACAATACAGTGAACCAATCAAAGCTTGAAGTAATTACACATAGCTGACGCAAAGCGCGGGAAAACGAGTGAGAGTGAGTCATGATTGGTTTTGGTTTGACTTTTACCCAATTGTGCAGCATAGTTGATGCAAAACCAATTACTTTTCGAAACTCATATTAAAACCGCTCTTGACTAATATTAAATAATGATTACATGTACATAATATATAACGTCCTTATCCAATCTCATAACAATTCTCTGTTAGGATACTCCTTGATGACCAGTCATAAACAAAATTTTCTGTACAGGATCAACATTACCTTTGGAAAGTAAGAGAATGATACTTGGGATAAACTCACTCCATCCTCCAAAGATTCAACCTCGTATACACAAAACTATAAATGAGAGAACATGGAAAGATATCATTTCACTAACAGCATTTTTAAGATTACACTTAACAGTTCTCATGTTTCCAAGTCAGTGTGTCACTGTCAGTGACTTTGTGACATTTAAAAAAGTTGCATATTTGACCCAAAGACAGTGTAATAATTAAAGGTAAAAAAAAATAGCTTACTCAAAAACAAAATGACCTGTAGAGCCAAAGCTTATCCATTAACTGAGAGTATTGCCACTCTACCAAGATGGGACATGCAGAAGTGGCGTGGTTGATATATTGTTGCTTCTACTCTATCCATTCATTCTTGTTTAACATTTCCAGGGAGTTTTTGCATGGGGCTAAACCCTTAACTTGCTTTCGGGTTGTGTTGTGCTGCATTGCATTTCATTGTGTAACAAAATACACTAAGCAGGCTCTTTTTTGTAACCCAAGGTGGTTATTCTGGTGATGGCCTGTGCACCTTCAACATTACCCCATGTCCTTGTTTACTATTGAAATTTCACCCAGTTATAAGTGCTCTTTCAGTTGATGAAATTCACCAGTAGCCAATTCATAGCTAAATCCATCTTTCCTGAGTAACCACCACAGGCAAAGCAGCCACCATATTTCAAGACACACCCCAAAGAATTATGTAAGCTTCCAAGAATAAGGACTTGTCTAAAACTGATAGTGTACATTTTGAGAGGCAATATTAATGCAGTAATAGTAGTGCGGATATAGTTTGAATTTTCAATCACCTGTGTGTTTTCTGCTAAATATAAAAATAAACCAAGGTAAAGTCTTCCTGTTGCTGGGTCCACCACTTTGCGAAGCAAATGACTTTGAGCTGTGAGGACAGATAAAGAAAAATAAGAGGTCAAACTCTTCAGTTCTTCAACGTCTTCCCAAACCTCTTTCCCATTTTCCATTTTGCAAGATGTGCACTGACACACGTAGGAGAAAACATAATGCATTCAAGAACTAAATCAGCAGAGAGGAAATGGTAAAAAAGCCAATCAAATTCTTGCATTCACATTAGACTATAATAGTAAATTTATAAGTTGTAGTTAATAAATATATATATATATATCGTAGATAGCAATTTTAATGATGATGCAAATAAAAGATTCATTTCCACACAATGGAAAATTTACCTGGGGAGTTTTGAAGATCAACATCGTCAGGAATATCTTCCACAAGATCTTTCACATAAATACATGACTGATTCTAATTAAAAAAAAAAAGAAATGACTAAAAGAAACTTAAGCACTTTTGTCCCATAATAAACACAATTAACAAAGAGAATTATTGCTAGCTTCTGATTCTTGATGAATGCTGGCTGGCATTGAACCATGGCCTGAAAATTCAAATATTGTTATGCAAATTACGTGTTTCCTTACCCTGAAGGTCATATCAGGCCAAGCTTCACATTAATTTGAGTCCAAGGCCAAGGAGATACATGTAACTAACATTTTAGACTCGTGTTTCCTGTAACATTAGAATGGAACACACACATGCTTATCTCTAGTACCTGACAAGACCAGATCCTAAGCTTGAGATCCCTACAGAGTGCAAACACACACATTTGTTTTCCATATGGATGGATTCCCACACTCATTACGGCATCGGAAGCCATTGTGTCCCTCCTCAGGCTAGAAGGAACAAGACCTGACCAGAGACGCTGCATTACTCCAGCTTGCCTCAACTCAAACTGCTCAACTTGACCTGCAGATTAACAGATTAAACAAAGATATCAGATGAGTATATACAGAGTAAATCCTCAACAAAGAAAGTTGTGAATACTTGTTTCTCAGTATGTAGGTCACAGGGACTTTGATGAGTACAAAACAATCACAACTAACCTCACAAAAGCAATCAAAAAAGTGTAAGGTGGAAACCCTTTGATAAATCAAGTGGTTTTGGATGGTCTTATAAACAGAGGGGCTCATTTAAGAGAGGGCTCATAAGCAGAATAACAAAAAACACTTCAACAGTGAGTTTCAGCAGTGTTGATCAAAGCATGTTATTTAATATACTGGTTTTTAATCAAGCTTGAAAATACCAAACTAAATTGAATCCATTTCATTTCAGACCATTTTCCAGCCTTTATGGGAAAATCTCAAACCTCTGCCTTGCCATACTGACTGAGCTATCACTCAGTCAATAGTGGTCTTGGTTTGAGATCTTCCCATAAAGGCAGAACATTCAAAGTAGTTAGTATCTTTACCTTCACTTCCTGGAGGAGGTAGTTTTATTAACAAGATGACATCTGTTCCAGTCGCTAAAGCAAAAAGACAGTTCCCATCCTGGCAAAGCCAACTTGCAAAGGTTGAGCAGGATTGTGTGAAAGTGCCAAAATTTGAAGCATCTCTTAAGTCACGACTAGAAAAATCATTGAAGATTGAGTATTGATTTGCCTCAGTAGAGAATGATATACCAAATCCCTAGAATGCAAGAAGAAAGTACAATGTAGTTGTACAAAGCAGGGATTACGCTTTCAAGAACATTCAACATGCAGTCTGTATATTATAGTTTTGTTGTTTCTACAGTTGAACCTCTACACAACAGCCACATTGGGGACAGAGGAAAGTGGTCGTTGTAGAGCAGTGGCCGTTATGGGGAGGCAGGGGTGTAATATGACACCTATGTTTTTCTTTTTTTTTCCAGGGGGAACAGCATTTTTATATTTAAAAAATGCTTATTGTAGCATAGAAATACCTGACACAATCAAAATATATCAATAAGACAGAAACCAAACAGAAACAGAGACCAATAGCGTGCAGTACCAATCAATTTTTGTGACCTTTTACAATATAATATGGGGTTTTGTATACACTGTCTGTCAGTCATTAATAATTAACTGTTTGGGGCACGCTTTGGTGGCCATTGCCAATGTAGAGAGACCAAAATAAGAGTGAATGTATAAACCATCCGCTGGACAAAAAAAAGTGGCCACTCTTGAGGTGGTAGACCTTTGTAGGAAGTTAGTTATTGGTGGAAGTTTAACTAGCAAAATTTGGAGGGCCAGTACAGATGTCACTTTACGTGAACAGTCACAATACAGATGAATAAGATATTAAGTTGAAGACTTACATGTCTGCGAAGTCTGTCAGGATGAGAGAACACAATCCTGTGGACACTGTTGGTTGTCGCGGCTAATACACTGATATGTGTATGAGTTTCAAAAATATACACCACTGGTAAAAGAACTCCATCTGTAAACTTCAGCTCAAGGTGGTTACCAGTGAGGTTTATGTCAAGGGACTCTTCAACAAGCTCCAGTACATTGTCTGTGATTCTCCTATGTAAGTACAAAAACTGTTACCAAGAGAAGGCACGGTTGGCCTTATGGTTATCCTGCTGAAATCTGGATTGAGCAGCACAAGTTGAGCCCTGGCCAGGATCATTGCATTGTCTTCTTGGGCAAGATACTTTGTTCTCACAGTACGTTTCTCCACCCAGCTGTGCAAATGGGTACCAGTGAAGGTAATGCTGAGAGTAACCCTGCAATGGACTAGTATCCTATCCCAGGGGGGAAGTATGAACACTCCTAGTCACTTCATGAATCTGTTTTTGAAATTTTCCCAAAATTCCCTGGTATTTTCATCAGGCTATGCAAACAGGAAGTGACTGCCTTCTTCTTTTGTATTAAATTGAAACCAGCTAAATACCATTACACCCCATAACTGTGTTTACATATGCTTGCAAAAAACAACATTAAAAAGGTTCTTCAAGGCATCCTACAACTCTGGTCAAAACTCTCTGGGACACCTACGTTAACAACCATAACATGACACTCATGCTAAACAACATTGCAAAGCAAGAGAGGGCACATTACCTAATATTACTTTGAGTTCAAAAGTGAAAGAGCCCGCAAGCGAAAGTTATGGTCAGGGTTGCAGATAGCTGCAACATGTAAGCGTAAGATCAACTTCTCCAACTAGGGTAACCCGAAAACACTGACCCCCGCTCCGCGGACACCAACTACAGACCGGGTCCACGGACTACCTATGGACTGGTCCACAGACTCCTCCTACGGACCCCCCTCCCTCCCCAAATATAATAAAAATACTAAATAAATATTTCAGCTACAGGTTGTCAAAGAGATTACTCATGATGGCAAAATTTCAAACATTACATTGTGAAAATGTAACAGACCTGGATTCAGGCTCAGGTGCAATTTATATCATTACATATTGCCTGTGGCCATAAAGTATACAAAAGACACGTACGGGAAGCCTCCGGGAAGCCTCAAAATTTGTGCTTTTCCCCCTGTGCCATTTTGTTCAGCCCATTCTCCCATGGGTTCATGAACTTGTTCCAGGCTTCACAATTTGCTCAGCCGAATAACAGATACAAACAAGAATAAACGGCCTAAAAATATATTTTCCATAGCCAGATTGGGCCACAAAAGGAAGGTAAGAACTTTCCTTCTTACCATCAGCATCTCCTTATGCTGAAAACAGCTCTCCGGCCTTTTTTTGGGAGGGGGGGTTGGGGTGTTAAAAATCCAAGTCTGTTACATTTGCACAGTGTAACACTCGAAAAATCACGAACACGAGTCTGAATCTATTAGACAACCCATAAGTGAAATCTTTATTTTTATTTTTTTTACACTATTTTAGGGTAGTCCGTAGAGGGGGTCCGTAGGGGTAGTCCATGGACCGGTCCGTAGGGTAGTCCGCGGACCGGGGATCAGTGTTTTCGGGTTACCCCTCCAACTAGCATAAACACGCTCTTATTGGTATCACTGTTGTCGTGTTTCTAACAATTTTTTCAGCTTCAGGTTGATCCATGACGACTGGTATTCGTTTAAGACTACTGAGCACAGAATTAACGGAGAATTTTCAAGAGCGATAAGGTTAAAGGCAAAATTTAACAGGAATGGGAAATAGTTAACTGGATACAAACCAGACGATGAATCTATTCCGAGTGAATGAATCTACGTTGCCACTCTCCCGATAAGCATATCCTCCTCCCGCATGGGGCTTGACGTAATCTCCATCTCTTATTGTTGTTGATGATCCTACCGTAAAATTGATCACAGTTCCTTCTCTCTGCTCGCTTTGCAGTGAAACTTCTCGGAAGTTCCTGCTGGCCGCCATTTTGGATTTAGCCCGCCATGTGAGTGGACGTTAGAGCCTAGTCTTCTGTATGGCTCCCATGATCCATTGCGCTTTTCAGAAATATTCGGAAGTCTTCGGTCGTTTGCCGGTAATCTTCGGTCAAAAGTTCAGTTCATTCCGGATCGGGAGTCTAATAAAACCTCGGAGGTAATATATTTTTCGGCCATTCGACAGGCACGAGTTTTAAGTGAAGTGCCCTGAATTGCTGCTGATTTCCTTGCCAGAAATGTTCATCCTGCCTGGAAATTTTTTTTATTAAACATTTCTTTGCCTGGGCTTCACTACACGGTAAACTAAGAGATCCGTAAATTGCGGGCGCTTATTTGAATCGAAGAAAAAATCATAAATAAACCCCTCTTCGTCAAAAGGAACAATTGTTTCAAAGTTCATATTTTGTCTAGTCTTTTTATCTTAGGACAGGTTTTGGAGAAGTAATAGATGGGGGCTTGCGAGGAACAAGTTTGGCGCAATTCGACCGGGGTAGAGGCTCCGAATGAAAACCACCTAAAGCTGATGTGGCTTTCCGCTCTCTTAATATTGTAATTGATTTATTATTACCTATTCATTTAAAAGATGAAGTTGAAGGCCCGGAAGGCTTACGAGAGAGGACCTGAGGAGTCTAAGATGCGATGAAAGACAGATGATTCCAAAAATCGTCCATGGCGCCCGACAAAGGGCCAAAATTCTGCAGTCTAGTTACTTGCGAAAATCAACACCCTACGGACAAACAACCCGAGAGTTTTCTACTAACATTTTAAACCTCCCAACCCACGCGCTCAATACTATTGTCTCTATGTAAACATTCACCTACAACAAAGAAATTATCACTCGTGGTTATGAACTAAACTTGTCAATGGTCGACGGCAATTAATCAAAGTTGCGCATGCAGAACATCCACTAATACAGACTGTCAAAACGATTTTAGTCCAGCCCCCGATGTTTTCAGTGTCTTTTGAACCATACAGTATACAGGCCGGATAATTCAGTCAAGTTACTGTTGCAAGTCCACGTTTTCTTTCTCTAGGTAACTGAAGGAACGAATTTGATTTTGAAGCTAAAAAATAAACACTAGTCTTTTCTCTTGTCAACTGAAGCTTTGAATGAAAAGAATAATTATGTAAATCAGCAATCGAGTTCTAAAGAGCTCTATGAACTCGATGTCGCTGGGTTTGGATAACACCCGGTCTATAGGTTCTTGTCAGTTCCTCGTTGATTTTTGTTTTGGTCCCTATAAGTCCATGTGGTTCAATGTTCGGATTTCGTCGTTGCACAGGGAACGACGAAATTAAAATTGTTTTGTTTTTTCTTTAAATCTGACATAGCTTGACATCTTTATTTATAATCTGCAAAGAGATTAACCGAAAGGGATTCATCCATCACCGCGGACAGAATCGTTTAATTCCGTTTTTTTGTTTTATTTTAATTTCCGTTTATATTACTTGAAAGGCCATGAAATGTGACGGCACACGAAGGTTTTTTTAAACTGGTTTCAATGTTCAGTTACAGTTGTATCCGCAACTAAAACTTTATGCTGATTACAGTTCTAACCTTATAGGATAAACTTAATTTCAAAACAGAAAAAAACTAGGTGTATTTGGTCGTTCTTGGAAAATTATTCAACTTGCCGAGGGTGATTAAGTCATCTAAAACTGTTCGTTTACACCCACGGCATTTCGGCCGCAGACCGAAAGTGCTCTTTACCTTCAACTAACAGTTTTCAATATACAGGTTAAAATTTAAACACTATAATTTAAACTTCCAAACCAGCTTTCTAAACTCAATAACATCATTGCCTGTGATTGATCTAAAGTGACTGGTACCCATGTCAAGCAACTTTTGATAGTATATATAGCGACTATAGAAGATTTTCGGCAGACCCTATGGCAGTTTTTGCTTGAACGAACCTCGAAATTGGAGTTCGAAAAAATGTTTCAGTGAGGCTACAGTATCTTGGCCGCCGCACATTTTATGTTAGCTTGAGCTCCAAAGACAATATGGCTGCCATGACCACCTCGTGGAAGCGTGTGTTATAATAGCCCATTTAGGGTCGTCCTGGCGGGTGTGCACATTTCGGCTTCTCGATCCAAGTTGCAAAGTTTTAGAAGTTCGGAAATTGTGATTTGATGCTAATTTATTTATTAATCGTTAGCTAACTTTACCAAGATTTCGTTCTTTGCACATGTGTATCCGAGCTTCGTCATCGAGGTTAATGTTTTCTTTTACTAGGAAGCTAAGAGGGGCAGATCGTGAAATTACTTCCGTTCGCGGCCCACAACTTCCGTCCAACGGTCTACAACTTCCCATCACGTTCTACTTTCGTCCACATGTCTTACAAAACTTCATCCATTGCGCTTCAAGCATGAATGAGCAAAAAATTGCTTCAATTGGTTTCAAAGCGAATCCCGAAAATATGAAAAACTTGCCCTTAGAGCCAGATGAATGCGAATACAAAGATATTGCATGGCTTTCAGAGTCAGGTAAGAGAACTACAACTGAAGTCAAAGATTTTAAATGGCTCCAAAGTCAAGAAATAGAAACAAATGCCGATTTTAAATGGCTTCAAATTTGCAACATAACAGACACATGCTTTCAAATGCGTACGGCTTTCTTCGTAACAAGATTCGTCCTAACAAATACATTAGCTGGTAAATTAAAATTTATACAGTACCTGTGCTGTCGACAATAAACTACAGTCTAAGGCTTTACCGAAAGAAAAGACCTCGAGATTAAAGACATAGGGGAAATCCCTCGTAGAAGACTTTCATTAACGGACCATTCTCTTACATCCTTAAAATAATTATTAAAGTTCCACGCAAAATTAATTTTTTTCACCGAAAAACACAGTTGGGATGAAAGGTATTTTATGACAGTCTGAATAATATCTAAAATCTAAAATCTAAAATGTGAATTTCTAAATGCTGCCTAGGAAAAATTAAGAGAGAATAAAAGTCTTTTCTTTCCAAAAGCCACGTTTCCTAGTCTACAAACTTAACGCGGCGAGCGCCAAAGTCTGCAGGGCGCGTCCGCCATCACTAGTACTCTGTTGATTTGAGTCGTATTTACGAAAGTAGACAATTTTGCGGGGTTTTTGAAGAAAAATATGTTTCCGTGAATGAAGTCAGAGTATAAAGGATGATATGTCGTATAATTATTATCCTAAGTTTAACATATACCATCACTTCTTTTCATACTATAACTACTGTCAGTCTCTCTCTAAATATGGCATTAATAGCATCTTCAGTGGAGGTTGTTCAACAGGGACTTAATTGACACCTACACAACTGTTTGTTTTGCAAACAAATATAAATATGAAAACCTCTATAGAACTGAAACTATCAAATGTCTTAAATGGAGACTTCATGTGGTCGGCCTATTATGTTTTGACATGTGGTCCTCCGCGTCGTAAAATGGTTTCAAAACTCATTTCGTCGACTTTATCAAATAGAGGAAAATGTGTTACCAGCTTGGCACAATTCGAAAGAGTCATGAAGATTTAACAATTTTTTTTTCCCAGCTCAGGGAAACTAAAACTAGACAAGCTATGCTCTTTTGCCGGTAAACTGAAAGTACCAGAATCCTGTTTTTTAGTGGTTTTTAGTGGTAAAGCACAAAAAAAAAAGATGACGTTATTTCCAGTGGAAGAGAAAGTTGAAATTAATGCACGCTAATTTCGTCGTTAATGGCTTTCATAAGTTAATTCGATTCATGCTTTTGCTAAACAACTTGTAAGAACTTGAATCTTTGTTAATGGTATGGCTTAACTCATTGTTTCTCAGAATATGATATTTTGAATGGTTGCAATATTTTCCCCTTATCAGATAAAAAAAAAAACCCTGTTAGTGGAATAGAAAACAAATTGCCTTCTTTTCTTTTCAGTAGCTAAATAGGCGGGTCTCTTTCAAGAGAAGACAAGAGAATCTCTGAAAATTTTGGATGACAAAAACATATTACCTTTTACAAAGGCTCACGGATCGCCTAACTTCCGAGCATTTTACTTCAATGGAAACCGTCTTACATAAACCTTTAATGTACTCAGTTATGGGCATTTATGAACAAACTTCTTAACATTTTCAACTTTGCGCGAGAAAAGATAAATTGTCCACACAATCTACCAAAATTGAACGAGCTTTGCAGGTCGAACGTTTTAGAATAACCACAGATGTTGATAAAATAAAGCGTTGTTTTGCATGTTTTAAACGCCATTACAAATAATGTTTTATCTCTTTGTAGCTATAGAGCTGCAAAGGTTGACCACTGAAGTGAATTGTAGTACAAACTGACGCGGAAAGTGCCAATTCATAAAGAGTTTTTTTCTCCCATAACACTGTAATATCGATTAAAATTATAATTCGAGCAAGATGTTGTGTTAAGCGATAAAAGACGATAAAACAACAGTTTGAACATGGACATTACAAGAAAGCATAAATATTCTTTTACTTTCGTAGACAATCAGACAAGAGCCATATTTATTTGCCGTTTTAATTTTTATTCATTTCTTTCTATATCTTTCCAGCAGTTGAAAATGCGACAAGAAAAGATTTGGTTAAAAGATAAATGCGAAAGGTTTTCAGCTAATTACAAAGACTGGAAGAAGGTTGATGGGAACGCAAGAATATACGAAAATCGCGACTGAATAATTTAGAGATCTGTCGATCGTATTTTGTGATAACCATCTGGGCGTAAAAGTTCAGTTGGCGTGTCGCTGGCGGGTTGTTTAGCTATACAAAAAACGCGAAAAATGTTTATTTTTATGACTTGTTATTCGGGTTCTATTCTAAAGCCTGTTGAGAAATGTTGTTTCTCTGATGAACGCTAAACAGTCTGTAAAGGGAACATATTATCATCGACTTAAACTAAGATTTTATTTATTGCGACGAAAATGCAAAAAGTACTGTCTTGAAACAAGTCTTGAGTTCGCTTCAAATCCGGGTTGCCGAAATGACCTGCAAATAAATAAAGAAATAAAGAAATAAATATACAAAGAATAACCACCAAATTTAATTTTTTTTCCTCCTACTGCAATTAATATCAAACATATCTTTAGCTATTTTCTTCTCTTTCTTTCTTTCAGTCTGCAGATTTCTCCGCCTTCTTCAGGTTTAAAAACTGAATCAGCGTCAATTGCAATACAAGAATGCGAAAATAGAAAAGCCACAAAGTCCATTGCTTCGACTAAAATAAGATTACGAAAAACAGCCTCTTGAATCATCAAATTACTAACACAGTCTTTTGAGTATCGACAAAGGTTGTATATTTGCGAAGATGCTAAGCAATTCTGAAATAAAATGAAGGTCTTAGCCTATACTCGCTGCATAGAGGTGTTAAATAAAAATAGTTTTCAGACCTCTGCCCAAATTCTTGGTAATCAAAATTCGCGGCTTTCATCGAGTGGGACATCTTAATTCTGAAATGTATAGGCCAGCTTTTACGTTTGAAAATTGGCTATTTTTGACTCAGCTCTCTTAAAAGGGAAGAACAATTAAATGGTAATTTGTGAAATCGAATTTGGAGAGACAAAGTTCTCGACAGAAATGAGAGAAAAGCCAAAAAATCCAATTGGAATTTACGCTTGGCTACAGATAATTAATGTCACTCTTTAAAGGAGTAAAGAAAAAAAGTTTTACAAAATTCTATATATAAAAAAAATATTTTACATTTTCTTGTCGCAAAAGTTGATAAAGTGTAAAAGGTAAAGATGAGTCGCATGCGACATGAGCGAATTTCACATTTGATTTTTGCATGGAAGTTTTTGCCGCTTTCGATCAATTCCAAAAAAAAAAAAAAAACATGGAATATGCAAGTATCAACAGACAATATAATAATGGTGAAATAAAGTTCTCAAGTCAGAACCAAAATAGTAGTGGTGTTTTAATCAAATGCGAGTTTAAAAGTACCTTTTCGGTCGTATGAAAGACTTCTTTTCAAAACTCAAACGCAGTGAAACATTACTAGGAGAATAGAACGCGTATGCGAATTGAAAAAGCAGGTAAGCATAAAAAAGTGTACTTACATCAATTGGAAGAGGTGTTTTAAAGTGTTCTGTTTCACTTGTGATTGTCATCATGGCCGAGTTACAAGCCACAGATGATGTGCAGGGCTGTTGTGTATGAGGTGTGCATCTGGGCACAGACATGCCATTTGGTGGATCTTCGCTCAAAACCTCGTTTAATGCTTTGATGTAGTTTATAGCGAGCCGTAGCGTTGTTATCTTAGCCATGTGGCCATCTGCAATATAGCAGGGCAACGCGTCCCGAAGCGCTTGAAAACCGTTGTTTAATACGCGCATTCGGTCGCGCTCCCGCGCGTTTACGAGGAGACGCTTCTTGAGAGAATTACGCTGTCGTTTGGGTTTTACAGGTGGTGGGGTCTCCTCTGGTTCGAACCTTGGCGGAGCCGGTATGTGAGTGAGGGCACCTCTCGGACGCAGGTTATAGATACCTTTGGCAAACTCGGAGTCGCTAGCTGTGTCTCCGGCAAATGTGTTGCCATCTGTGAAACAGGCTGTACTGGCTCCCATCATTACGTTATCGGAGAAAAACGATGTGGCCTCGCTTACTGCTTGCAAGCTGTTTGGCATGGTTTCGGCGCGCGGAGCGAAGCTTAACTGATGTGTGTTTGGGGCAAACATTTGTGATCTTTATATGTTTGTGGTGAAAGAACACCTGAGCTGAGCTGGAACTGCGACTCTGTAGAGCCCACCTGAAGGCAGTCGGGTTTACAGTCCTCTTCACTGCTTAAATACTCTGTGTCGATTATTTTATGCAACTTCGTAAGTCCAACTTCCCGTGCTTAATGAATTGTAATTTATTCAGTTGCCATTAAAAAGAAGTGGGCAGATTAAATTGACTTGCAAATATATGTTCTAACACCCCTGTGAAGAAGGCTTCTCCTTTAGAGGGAAATGGTTATCTTAAGCAACTTTAACAGTGAGTTGTAAAATAAAGTTCTCGCGGCATGGAAGCTCATTTCAAGTGAATGTTATTTAAAACTAAATAAAAGGGTCCTTTTACGTCAACAATGGCTTTTGTGGTCAGTCAGTGTGACTTTCTAATTGTAGAGTTATCTTTGTACAACACTGATTGCATCTCTGTATAGCCCTTTCGAGATAATTAGATGTCTTCGAAATTTACTGGGCTTTTTATTTTTCGGGTTAAAATCTCCCAACTTTGTAAAAAGTTGATGTATAGGCGAGGCACGTCCTTTGCAAAAAAGTGACTTCGCATGAAATTGAAATTTAAGATCCGAAAAAGAAAACAAGTTTCAAACAGCTGCAACCATATGCCAAAGTAGATTTTCTAATTCCCTTTTAATCGCTGAAACGTTATTAAACGTTAATGCACTTGGTTTTATTTTCAAGTCAAATAGTTGCCGTTTGTTCATTATCGGGATAGGGGCTCGTTTCTCGTCTCTTTTTGAATCGTTTTTGAGGGATAGAGGCCGTGGAAATTGATCGAACATAACGTATTGAAACACGTTCGAAAATCTCAATAAGTGCCCTTTTATTTCGATGTACAACATTTACACCTGGACCTCTAGGAGCGAAGATCTCTCTCTTTGTCGAGATCAATTCATTATCCAATATTGCACTCAGAGCCAAAAAAGAGTCGGAAACATTCCCCACGTGGCCGACCTGCTCCTTCAGTTGAAGAAACATTGCTAATGTGGTAGCAAAATACACGATTTTTTTTAGGGGGAGACAACGACATCAGCAAACCCTCAGTCCAATTTCGTGACAAGTTGTCATCCTACCGGGATCCCCCAGTTTTAATACTGACTACAATTTTCAACTTTTTATCGGTTGTACTAATGACATGTTTGAAGGAATGTAGACACAACAATGTTGGACTACACCACGCACCAGGTTTGATCGATATCTGAAAACCTGCGATAGTCATAAATCTTTAAAGCTTCGTTTTTGTAACAGCTGATGATTAACTTTTTGCCAAAGACTTCTCAGGGTGATGATATAATTTCAGCAAGAAACGGTTGCTTGTGTGAGTGAGATGTAAACGAATTCCTTCTTTGAAAGCTCATAATAAGAGAGGCTAAATTTGTACCGTGGAAGTATCCTGTACAGTTTAAAAGAGTGAAATTTGTGTTAAATTTTTCAACTTGTGGCTCCTAGTCACGAAAATAAGTATTTTCGTTTTGTTTTTTAAGCTCGAAGAAGCCATTTATTACAAATTAATCTTACAGTTATGTTTTTCAAATAATCTTTTGTGAATCAATGCATGTTAAAAGAAAGACGAAGGAAACTTTAAATGAAAATGAAATTCAACTAACTGTAAATATTGTTTTTGCTTACTTTTAGCTGAAGTTTCATTTGAAAGAAACCCATTTTGAAGGTGCTATGCATAGAGACACTTATTTCAAAAGAGATAACGCCTTTTTTCGGTTTTGTTGTTGCTGTATTTTTTCTCTTATTTTCGTTCAAATTATAATCTATTTAGAAACACGTTATAACATTGTAAAACCATTAGAACTAGTATTGCCATTTCTGTAGAGAGTATTCATCGGCTCTGTGTGCGTGATTTTCGAAAAGGAGGAAATTTCCAAGTATAGCACGTTTTAACTTGGCATGAAAAGAAACAGAATTCCTATTGGGCAATGAATACAACAGGTAGTAGGAGAAATCAATCAGTTAATCAGTTCGTGCTATAATAAGACTCCGGAACAAAAGACCCAGTAATAAACACGATCATCAAATTAGCTTGTTAAATTGCTGTAGATCTGTCTACAGATATCTAACAACTTTAATTCAAATGGTGATTAGCCCCTTTTAGCTCGCACCTTGTTCTTCACAAGAATGATTCCATAATATGCAGTCGGGAAAATACGAGATTTATTGACTTCTCAGCGGGTCACGTAACAGGTACTTTTGCTTACTTACCTGCTAGATTCTTTGTGGTGAAAAGGTCGCTATGTGAGGATCATTTGCAAGATATAATTTCGACAACAAGTCCTCAGGTGTCGTAAGTAAGTAGAAAATGGTCTTCAAGGGAAAATTCAGAGAGAGTCGAAATAGTTATCCCGTTTAAAAATAACCAAAAGTAAGATCTTGCCAAAAACCATTGGGGTGAAAATTACAAAATGGCTCATTTACGATCATAATAGCCATGTGTTTTCCGTGAGGCTAAAGATTAATCAAAATTAAACCCATTTATACACCTGGGTGAAGTTAGACACTAGGAAAACGAAGTGCTTTTTCCTAATAACAAAACGCATGTACAATACCCAGGTTTGACATACCCCAATCAACGCGCTAAATATTGGACAAACCACGCCTCCCTTTAAAGATAAAACACATTCAGCGACTCGGGAGAGCCATATTACGTGTAAATATTTATTACTACTCTCATTTGTCTGTATGAAGACAAAAACGAAATAAAGAAGAAAGGATAAACTTGTCTTTATAGCCTTTTTAATAACTTTTTCTTTCTTCAGCGGTCTCTTAGGAAAAAGCAGGCAGACTGCTTTGTCTGAACGCAAATGGGCATTGAACACGTTGATATCCATATTTAATACTGACTTCAACATGAAAATAAGTGTTTTATAGAGTTCTGATTGGGCACCGGCGCCGTTTTAGTCTGCACTTGGTTGGTTTGAATCAAATTGTTTCATCAGCAATTCGTAGAATGCTTTTTAACAAAATTATAAATCAGAGGAATGAAAATCTGCTTGTAACCGGAATGAATAGAGTTTTATTTATGCACGGTTTAAAGGAGCTCAGTCACGGAATTTTGAGTTAGTTCAGGCCACGTATAAAATCACCTTTAAATTGAAGGAAAACTAAAAAAATAGTAGTTTACTAAGATAGATAAACACCAAAGATAATAATAAACCATAAAGAAACAAGGATGGTAAAGGATAGAGAAGATATACACGGATTACAAGCGACGAACTTGAAAAATTAAAGCTAAACTTTCCTGGGCGCGCGAACCGTAAGTCGGTCAGTAAGATGTGAAAGACGTGCGGCCCGCGCTGTTGCGGAATAACTGTTCTGTTCTTTCCCATTTATATTTACTTCATGAGTTTATTTTTTTTGTCTTTGCCATAGTGAAATTTTAAAAATGTATTAAGACGCGAGTTTTCAGCTGAAACAACCAACACCGGCAGTCACGTGACCAGCACCAGGCCTCTCACGTTGTGGTGTCGATTGAATTAATGACTGAGTAGGAATGAGTTCTCAGCATTTCTCACTTTATTGTTTCATGTTTTATAAGCGTTCGCTGGATTTGCATAAAAAGAAACCTTCGATTCACCTGTAAGTGGATGTGAATTTTAAGGTCAATGACCGAATATTGTACTCTTTATCCTTGATAATGCCCAGCTGTTTCATCCAAAACCGGGTATCTGGTTGATTAGTTCTCAACCGTAAGTCGAAAACACTTTCTCGTTCTTTAAATTTAAGCGCGAGTACGAGAGTGAATGCTTGGGGCGAACTCGTTTGGGTGCAAAACAGCTCTTGGGCCATTTTCGATATATTAAAAATCTAACTTGGCTACGACTCTTCGAGGGAAGAAAACAAAGGAAATTATTCATCCCTCAACACCGATGCAGTTTCTTTTGTTTTGTTCCCTCAAGCTTCGGAGCAGAGTTAGAATTTTTATTCGGGTTCTATTACGGTCCGGTGTAATATGTGGGTTGAGTTTGTTGTTGGCTCTCGCCTTGCTCCGAAGGTTTTTCTCCGGGTTCTCTGGTTTGCCTCCCTCCACAAAAACCAACACTCTAAATTCCAATTCGACCAGGATAGAGGACCTGCATGAAAACCAGACAAGGCTGATGTGGATTCCTCTCTAAATATTTAACAATTATTCGCCGAAGGCGAAGTGATTATTGGTAAGTACTCCCCGAAACGAAGTCGAGGGGAATATTCACCAATATTCACGAGCCTGAGGCGAATAATTGTTTTAGTATAATTACTCAGGTGATTATAGAAATACCTAAACAAAGGATCGACCGAAAAATGTTAAATTTTATTTGTTATTGTCACGCGCCAATGTACAACTACGCGCACAGATCACATGGTTTAATACATCATATGGGCAAAAACGGCAAGTGTTTTTCGCACGTTTTAAAACGTTCTCCCTGTAAGAAAAAGCCAGAAAGGAGGCTAAAATTGTCTCAAAGTCAGTGGTAAATTCGGTTTGTTGTTGAAACCATTCTGTTAGATAAATAAAGTAAAGAAATGAAGTGTCGAAAAATTTAATAGTTGTTTTTATTTACTCTTTCATTTCGAAATAAGCGACATTTTCGCGGGAATTCACAAGGTTTCGCGGTATTTAGCACAATTTTCACATCTTACTTTTGAAAAGTGTCACTTGGAACTTTGTAGCATGTTTGGTGCTTCTCGGAATAGCATTTTCTTTCATTGTATTCATTTCTTCTTCAGACACATCGCCAAAGCACGAGGCGGCCATTTTGAAAATTAGTCTTAGGTGAATATATAGAGGATATTACACGGTGGCGAGAAGATATGAATTTTATGTTCTCGTGGCAAGAACAATATCTCACGAGTGAGCGAAGCGAACGAGTGA